TGTTTTAGACCCAACTCTGATAAATTTAATAATGTTTGGGCTTCCGTTTCTTTTTCTCTTTTTCTGTTAGTTATCAATCAGTCGATTGTTTTAATTACTGATAGTGAAAAAACAGTCAGGTATTTCTGACTGTTTGTTGTCATGTTGGCGGAAGGCATAAAACAGGTAAATCATCAGCAGCATATTCATCAAAATAGGATAATTGTAAATATCTATATACTGCATTGAATGTAAGCTTTTTTGTAGTGGATTTACCCCAAAAAAGTTGATTCTGTTCGTCTGGTCAGAGGGTTTTCAGCAAAACATTTCGTCACACATCTAAGTGACTTCTTCAGGTTCAGCCTTCTGCAGGTTTCCCCAACCTTATAAACAGTACCTTTGATCACAATGACTGAAACTAGCCCACTGAATAAATAATGGACTGTGAGCTCAGTTCCTTCATCATTAATATGCAAATTGTCCTGACTTAATAGATTTAATGCAGGTAACATGCTGTGCAATAAATGGTTGTGCTTATCAAATGATCTTTAGTATAGGCAAATACGTTTTCCATTTTCTTTATCATTTCTTTCTTGCACAACAATGTAGTTTTCTATAGTATTTTATTATGAAGTCCACATCTATTAGAAATTTTCATTAACTGCAGTAGAAAAGTACACCCTTACTGCCTCCATGGGTATTAAGAGGGAATTAGCAGCTGTGTGCTGCTAATTAAATGAGTTAATTTGCATTTGATTGGACATCCCTGCAAAGGACAAAATATCAAAAAAAATCCAAGAGTTTCATGTCTGAATCTACAGGCTTCAGTTTGCAAGCTAAAGGCGACAGTTCATGACAGTGCAGTTACAAAAGACTGAACAAGTATGGCTGGTTTGGAAAGGTTGCCAGAAAAGAGTATAGACTTTAAAATGAACATTGTAGCATGGCTTATTGTCGGAAATTTCATTAACAGTTCCTTAACAAATCACAAGATTTCTGAAACAATGTCCTTTGAACAGATGACACCAAAGAGGCATCTGGGCTTATAGTACAGCACCACATATGCCAGAAACCAAACACAGCATATCACCACAAATACCTCATATCAACAACATGGCGGAGGAGGATTGATGATTTGGGGTTGTTTTGCAGCCACAAGACCTGGGCAACTTGAAGTCATTGGGTTAACCATGAACTCCTCTGTATACCAAAGTATTTAGAGTCAAACGTGAGGCCATGTCGCAGGATCTTAAGACATTAGTATATTAACAAAGGCTTGCAAACTTCAGTGAGCTCAAGAAGATTTGTAAAAGAAGAGAGGGCCAAAATTCTTCATTTCTTCAGCAATATCAGAGACTGATAGGTCCATACAGAAAATACTACTTGAAGAATTGCTGCTCAAGAGGTTCTACAAGCTGTTTCAAAGGACTGCAGAGACTCCTTTGAAATGTATATTAAACGTACATCTCCACAGTCTTTTTTAGCGTGTCTTTGTTGTAATGCACACTAAAGTCCAGCAGGTGGCAGTAATAAGTATAACGTCGAATGTTGACAACCTTCCGAAATCCATCAAAGAAGTATGACAACCAGGTTCAGTCCGTTCAGCCAACTAGACAACATTTTGCTGTCAGGAGGTAAACCAGGTACGTTAACCAGGTACATCATAGCTTAGTTTTACAAGAACACCGTTTTACAACTAGATCATTGTAATTTGGGCGGGTAGTTATCCAAGGCGAGAACTTTTTTAGCTTGACTTGACTGCTGTTGGTAGCAGAGAACCTACTAAAGCTAACGTTAGCTTAGCCATCCATTAATTACCCCTGACAAAATGTAGCGTTAGTTTTCTGTTAGAGCATAACACTTTGTCCTTAGCGCTATTGTTTACTTCGGGAGCTTGTTACAATGTTGTCGCGAGTGTTGTAGCTGTAATGAAATATATGTGTGGTTCAATGTGTGTCAGGGCGAATACAGGATAAAAACGAATGACTCTTCTTTCTCTGTCGGAAAATATTGAACCGTTTTTTCCCGTGCTGTTATTATTTGCTTCATTTTACTACGTAATATGTCACTATGCCACCTGGGCAACCCTAAACTCATGTTGTCATTTCTGTTTCTTCCAGCTGTGAGATTTTTTTCCCCCTCGATGGTGCCAGGAACCTATTTGAAAACTAACAGAGCTGGAACAAGGACACACACTTCGTAGTCCAGATCTCCTTTCTCTCTTGTTTTCCACTGAAGACAAATGAGTCATGGATCAAGCTGTTGTGGACAATCCTGTTACCCTTGTGATCAGGGCTCCCAACCAGAAATATGATGACCAGACAATCAACTGCTACCAGAACTGGACTGTAGAGAAACTCAAAGCTCACCTATCTGATGTGTACCCGAGTAAACCTGTGAGTATCTCACTCTTATTTAATCAAAGCTGTTGATGTAAGAGGTTGACTTGCGTGTTAATTCCCTCTGATCATGGTAACACTTTCCTATTTTGCTTTTGTTATCCAAACCAGCTGATCACTGTTATTGAAGTAGGAGCAGCAGCTGCTGTTGTAATACTACTACTGTATTTGTTTTGATGGCATACAGTAATCCAGTAGCTCTCAAACTTTTTTTTTTGGTATGCTTCACTTCAGAGGTTAGCAGAATTTTATTTCTGGCTATTTTAATCAAAAATTTACAATTTAAAAAGAACGATTAAAATTGAATTTTAATAAAATGGAAACTATTGCATCAACAAACTCTTGTTTTTGTTCTTCCCTTGTAATGATAAAAAAAATCATTACACTCATTCAACTTCACATTATTCTTCTGGTCGTTCATGCCCCACAGTTTGAGAAACACTGCAGTGTTGGGAGATAGTTATGTGGTTAGAAAGATACTCATAACATGTAACAAGTGTAACAAGTGTTTTCTTGCCTTTTTCAGTTAATAGTAATATGAATGACACACGCAATATGTTGGAGTTACAAAATCAGCGAGCACACTGATACATAATGGTGCTGTGACATGTATTCTGCTCCATATGCTGCAGACAGTGACAGTATTGCAAACACTGCAGTGAAAGCCGCTCTGCTGGACAAACTGTGTATTGATATCATTACCAGATTTTTTTTCTGCATTATGCTACACATATTAGGCAGAAAATGGCCTGCATACCCCTATGCGTACATGTTGTTACATATGAGCTTCACAGTTACAGTTTTGAGAATGAATTGCATTTTTGTTGTTTCTGTAGCCTTTAACTGTGTTTTGATTTTTAGCTCTCACACAGTCTCAACCTTCATTTCGCTTTGCTTACTTTTGCTTTGTGAGTTCTGCTGAGTTCCCTCATGAGTCATATTATGTCACTTAGTTGAATAATCACTGAGTGACATAGATCATTAACCTTGATGTTTTTTCTGAAGGGGAAAGAAATGAGGTTCCTCGAGTCTTTGTAGCTGAAAGAGCCTTGGAGGCTGTAGATTTGACGTCACAATGAAGGGAAGGCGTTTGTATTCCGGCTTTATTGTGCTGCTAATCTGACTTTGCTCTGCTTCCTCTGTGCTCTCGGCTTGTTTTGATGCAATCAAATTAAATACATGGGAGCAAACTGCATTCTGATAAAGCTGTAGAGTGTTCATCCAAATGCCTGTACATTTTTGTGTAACTCGGGGGAAGTTATTTCTGGAAATCTCAAAAAACAAGAAAATACTTCCACTTGCAGTTGGAAGATGGCCAGGATCTAAAAGAGAAAATGAGTTTTTTAACAACTGTAGAGTGAATGCAAGCTGTAAGAGGATCACACTCTGACCTTGTTGTAGTCAGGAGAGCTAAATCCACTCTTAAGACCCACTTATCCTAATTGAGGTTACTACAAACCAATCCTTATTACTCATTCACAGAAAGTTTCTGCCCTTTAATGCTGTGATCATGTACATTTAACAGTTAACTCTGTTTTCTTTCAGTGTATGGTTGTATTTCTGGCATCTTTACCCTTTTAAAAATGTAAAATAAAACTGAGCAACCTACATTCTTGGTGTTGTTCATTATACATAGGCTTCCTTCTTTGACCCAGTTATCGTTATCCTTTCTTTTATTTTTAGAGCTCCAAAGACCAGAGGCTGGTGTATTCTGGAAAGCTCCTGCTGGATCATTTTACCTTAAAAGATGTGCTCAGAAAGGTAAGTTTGTGTGGTTATAGGCATAGGATTTATTAAAGTCCATGTAGTTTAGTAAGTCTAGAGCTCACAAGATTTTAACTGCCTGATTTACAAAAATGTATCAGGCAATTGTTGCTTACTGTGTTTACAATTTCAACAAAAGAGTCTCTCTGCACTCAAAGTAGAATGGAGTATGGTGTGGAAAAACTTATGTAGCCTACACAGAAACACCTTCCCACACATCTGAGATAAACTGGAATTGCACTCAAAGGACACTTTATTAGGTACACCTTGCTAGTACTGGGTTGGACGCGCTTTGGTATTTGCAGCATAGATTCAACAAGGTACTGGAAACATTCCTCAGAGATTTTTTTGTCCATGTTGACATGATGGCATCAAACGGGTGCTGCAGAATTGTCGGCTTTACATCCATGATGTGAACCTCCCATTCTACCACTACCACCCTCTATTGGACTGAGATCCAATGACTGTGGAGGCCATTTGAGTACAGTGTCACTGTGCTGTCCTGTCTAAGAAACCAATTTAAGATGATTTGGGCTTTGTGACATGGCACATTAATCTTGGTGGGAAAAGCCATCAGAGTATGGGTACACTGTGATTGGATGGATATGATCAGTACTAATACTCAGGTTGGCTGTGGTGTTTAAATGATGCTCAGTTGGTACTAAGGTTCCCAAAGTATCACTCACACCACTACGCTACCACCACCATTAGCCAGAACTGCTGATTAACAAGCGGGGAAAAAACCTTTCTTTCCCATTCTGATGCTCAGTTTGAACTAAAGCATGATTACATGCCTAAATACACAGATTTGCTGCCGTGTGATTGGTTGGTCAGATATTTGCATTAACAAAGATCTGTACCTAATAAAGTGTCCAGTGAATGTAGTTTGTCATGCTGACATTACTGAATGTCGATGAGTCATGTTGATTCCTGCAAAATTAGGCAACTCTTAGGTTGGCCCATTTTTCTGCTATCGGCACGGAGTGACTTCACTTTTGTATTTGCTGCTGTGAAGGACTTTTCCTCCTGGTTTTCTTTGTGTAACCTGCAACAATGATTATGTAACCATAGGTGGCACAGCAATGACAAAGTCTTGAGGGAAAAAAAGTTTTAATGTTCATGTTGATCTTTTTTAGGTAAATTCAAGTCTAGTGAATTGATTTTTGAAAACGAAAAACTGGCCGACATATCACCACTAAAAAGAGAGTAGAATGGAGGAGGGGGCAAAGCAAGACAGTGTGTACAGGTATATTGCAGCTCTGATGAGAGTTTATTGTGTTCCTTCTTTTTATGTTGTTCTCTTTTAATTGATTTTTTAATATGTTTTATTACCCAGTGTTCCACTTTTTTTCTCTTCTTCATCTCTAGGCCACTATTAAAGTAATGCATTTTATAATGGGCTTTCCTATAATTGCATGCTGCTTTGTAAAGAAACTCAATATGTTCAAATATTATGTAGGTATTATTAATATGTTTGTGTTTGAGCAGGAACATTGCAAATCTTAAATGTCCTGTCTCTTTTGTGAAGTTGTCCTTAGCCAAAATAGGCAGCAGCTCAGTTGGCAATAGTTATGCAGCAGCAAATAAACAGCATACAAAACATGCATACATATAATGTGTACATAAATGGGGAATGGCATACCAAAAAAAAAAAACAATCGTGTATTTGTTTCAGTTATCACAGGTTAAGCAGGGATGCTGAGTTTCTGCTGATTTGTTTAGAAACAATCGCTTCCCTCGTGTTAATTTTGTCTTGTTTAAAGCTGAAAGCAACATTTTAAAAGTTTGTCAGCACCTGATTAAGGTATATCCAGATAAGTAATTAACAAAAATAGTAACTTGGAAAACTCTTTTGAAGGATTTAGATCTGTAGCCTTATAGAAAAGCTTAATGTATAGTATTCTTGTCTTTGCATTAATCTAATAAAGCAAATGTCCACAAAATAGATTTAGAAGCGCTTTGAAGTGTTCTTGAGGTTTAAAAATTAACAAGTCCAAAGAACATGCTGCACTTAAGCTGTGTTTAATAATGAGCTCTTATTGGCTTCTACAGCAGGACGAGTACCACATGCTCCATCTGGTGTGCGCCTCACGAACCCCTCCCAGCTCCCCAAAGCCCACCCGCAGCTGCAGTAACAAGCCCCAGGAGAGCACAGCCCGTCCCACGGTGGGTCAGCCGTGTGCTTCTTAGACCTTGCATTTCATTTCATCATCGCCATATTTTCTTTCATCAGCTACCTAACTGCTGTAATTTGCAAATCTCTGGAGATTTAAAAACGTCACTTGCCTTTGTTTTCAGACGAGCAAGAAACTAGAACTTTTTTTCCCCCCCTCCCTGGTCACAGGCCCCTCAGAACTCTAATGGAGTTGGTCAGGATAGCCACTCCTCTACGGGAGAGAGCAGTGATGGACTCAGACACCGAGCTGGATCCTTCCCTTACCACCAGATGTATCCACAATTTATGTACAGGTAAGCTACTGAACTGCAGTGCAGGTGTGTAGGGTAGTTCAGGAAACTGTTTCACTAAACCAACTAATGATGAAAATAGAAAAACAATGCAAATACACCTGCTTATAAACTTCATTATTAAGTAGTTTTAACATGTTACTCAAGACACTTCCATTGCAATGTTTACATAACAATCTTACTGATTTGGACTTGGCAACTTTCAGCACATTGCGTCTTAAATAACTGTAGTTTTAGC